AGGGGGAGTGTGAGAGGAAGAAGCAGGCTCCTCACTGAGCAAGGAGCCCAATGTGGGACTCGATCCCAGGACCCTGGGATCATGACCTGAGCTGAAGGCAGACGCTTAACGACTGAGCCACCCAGGCGTCCCGAGAGATTTTTTTTTTAAACATTCACAACAATATTTGATCATCCCTATTTATTTCAAATAGGAGTTTAAAGTGGGGGTGGTGCAGAGATGCCAGAACACTCTAAGGGTGACACACAAGTGTTGCAGGGGATCACTGCTGCAGGAATTCAGAGAGGGAAAAATTACCAAAAACGTGGATTGGCGAATCAAGGCTTCAAGGAGAGGGTAGATTGGATCTGTGCCTCTGAGGTGTGCTCTGATTAGAAAAAGGGAGGACTGCATTTCAGGTGGGTGAGAGGAGAAGGGGCAAACGCTCACTCCCTAGCTGGGGTGGGGTGGGTTGGCAGTTCTGCTTGGATCCCAGTCTTTGGTATAAAGTCATTATTATTTCCATATTCATTTCCTTTTTATTGAGGATGAATGTTTCATGCATCACTGCAAATACTGTGTGTGTCTTATTTAATCCTATAAATGTTTGAGGAAGGTACTATTATTATTTTACAGCTAACAAATGGGAGGTACACAAGGTAAGTAACTTGCCTAAGGTCACAAAGGTGGTTAAATGGCAGAGCTGATACTCTACAACTCAAGCTGTCTGGCTCCAGAGCCTATGTTCTTAACCAAAATGTGATATAGTACTACTGCCTCTCAGCGAGAGAAAACAAAGCAAGGGAAAGAAGGGTGCCATCTGATGCATCTGCATTTAAGAACAGATGGGCTGGGAAAGGACATATTTGGAAGCATCCCAAGGGAAATAATCCTGTCAAGCAGCTGGAAGTCCTAATGGCCTCAAAACCATTTCCCAGAGAGTACAGTCCCAGAGCTGGGGCCACCACAGAACAGCACAGAGGTCTTTCAGAAGGTCACCACCCAACCCTTACTTAGTGAGGATGCTACTGGAAGCTCACTGTGAGTGAACAATAGCAATAATCACATCCTCCGCCTTCAATTCATCCTAGCTGCTTAACACACTCTTTCTCATCATTCTATCTCATGTCCAACTGGAATCAGAGTAGAACAAAGGCAGTGAAAAAAATCATTATGGACTGGGAACAGTATTAAAAAATAATAAAGACCTTTGGCTCTAAAGTAGATGCCCTGACTAGGATGGTATGATGAAGTCTTAGGATTCAAAATGTTTCCTGCCCTCTGTAGAAGAGGATTTACTTCCCCATCCCATGGCCCTCAAGCTTGGTCAAGTGACTGGCACGGCCACTCTTTGCAGGATTATCCATCTCATCTTGTTGAACTTAGGAGTGACAATTTACTTTGGCCAATGAAGTTTGTGTAAAGTAAGTGATCCATGTCAGAACTCGATAGTTCAGGGTTCAGTATCTTTTTCCTCTGCCACCAGACTGGCAAGGTCCAGATAGAGCACCTGGATCCTAGGGTCAATACAGCAAAGAGATCTCAGAGGACAGAACAAAGACTGTGTGTGGGTGAGAAATAAACACGTGCTGTGTAAGCCACCAAAATTTGGGACAGATGTATTACCTGAGCAAAATGTAGTCTAAAAAACTGACACAAACAGTAGATCTGATTGTATGTGGGTCTAAGAGCCTGGGCTCTAAAGCCTAGCCCCCCCAGTAGCTGGCTGTACCACATCACATTAGGTAAATGTTAGCTTCTTTGGTCCTCAGTTTTCTTGTCTATATTACTTCCTGGGAATTTTGTTAAGGATAAAGTTAAGATAAATATCTTGGCAGTGATTTAAATAGAAATTTAAAAATCAAGATGCCAAGAAGGCTTTCTGTGCACAGAGGTTTTTAGGGATTTTTTTTTTAACTGTATTATAGTTGATATACAATGCTACATTAGTTTCAGGTACACATCACAGTGATTCAACAACTCCGTACATTAAGCTATGCTTACCGTAAATGCAATTCCCATCTGTCACCACACAACACCATTACAATATTACTGGCTATATTCCCCATGCAGCACGTTTCATCCCTGTGACCTATCCACTCTGAAATTAAGTCTGCACCTCTTCAACTCTGTCACCTATTTTGCCCATCCCCCCCCCCCACCTCCCCTCTGGCAACCACTAAAACTAGTTCTCTGTATTTACAACTCTGGTTTTTTTGTTTGTTCATTCGTCTAGTTTTTTAGATTCCACGTAAGTGAAACCATATGGTCTGTCTTTCTCTGATGACTTATTTCACTTAGTATAACACCTTCTAGGTCCATCCATGTTGTCACAAATAGTAAGATCTCATTCTTTTTTATGGCTGAATCCTACTCCACTGTATATATATGCCACATATCCTTTACCTATCCATTTACCAATGGACACTTAAGTTGTTTCCATATCTTGCCTACTGCAAATAATGCTGCAATAAACATAAGGGTGCATATATCTTTTCGAATTACCGTATTTATTTTCTCTGGGTAAATACCCAATAGTGGAATTACTGGATCATATAATATTTCTATTTTTAATTTTTTGAGGAACCTCCATACTGTTTTCCACAGTGGTTGCACCAATTTACATTCCTGGCAACAGTGCATGAAGGTTCATGGAGGTTCCTTTTTCTCTATATCCTTGCCTATACTTGCTATTTCTTGTTGTTTTGATACTAGCCATTTTGAGAGGTGTAAAGTAATACCTCATTGTGGTTTTGATTTGCATATCCTTATGATTAGTGATGCTGAGTATCTTTTCATGTGTCTGTTGGCCATCTGCATGTCTTCTTGGAAAAATATCTTTTCAGGTCCTCTGCCCATTTTTTAATTGGGTCTTTTTTTTTTCTTTCTTTTTTTTCTTTTGCTGTTGAGTTGTGTGAGTTCTTTAAATATTTTGGATATTATCAAAAACTAATGATGTAATATATGGTGATTAACATAACAATAAAAAAATTAAAAATAAATAAATAAATAAATAAATAAATATTTTGGATATTAACCCCTTATCAGCTATTTAATTTGCAAATATCTTCTGCCATTCAGCAAGCTGCCTTTTAGTTTTGTTGATGGTTTCCTTTGCTGCGCAAAAGATTTTTATTTTCGTGTAGTCCCAACAGTTTACTTTTGTTTTTGTTTCCTTTGCCTTTAAGAGACATATCTAGAAAACTGCTACTAGGGTCAATGTCCAAGAGATTACTGCTTGTTTTCTTTAAAGAGTTTTATGGTTTCAGGTCTCACATTTAGGTCCTTAATCCATTTTGAATTTATTTTTCTGTATAGTATAAGAAAGTCGTTCAGTTTCATTCTTTTGCAAGCAGCTGTCTGGTTTTCTCAACACCATTTATTGAGAAGACTGCCTTTTCCCCATTGTATATTCTTGCCTCCTAGATTAATTGGCCATATAAGTGTGGGTTTATTTCTGGGTTCTCTATCCTGTTCCATTGATCTAGGTCTATGTTTGTGTCAGTACCATAATGCCTTAATTACCCTAACTTTGTAGTATATTTTGAAATCTGGGATTGTGATACCCCCAGCTTTGTTCTTCTTTCTCAAGGCTGCCCTGGCTATTTGGGGTGTTTTGTGATTCCATACAACTTTTAGGATTATTTGTTCTAGTTCTGTGAAAAATACTACTGGTATCTTGATAGGGATTGCACTAAATCTATAGATTGCTTTGCGTAGTATGGATATTTTGAAAGTATTAATTCTTCCAATCCATGAGCATGGTATATCTTTCCATTTGTGTCTTCAATTTCTTTCATCTTTTAAAAAAATTAAGAAAGCAAGATGCTGAGCAGGCTTTCTGTGCACAGAGGGTTTTGGTTACCTTTTTCTGTTGAAAAACAGCAGGTCTGAGTAAATTTAATGGGCACACTTACTGAGACTCACAAAATTTATATTGACATGAAAACGATACACAAAGGGATGAAATGAATGAAAAAGGTGTTAAGTCTTAAGAAAACCCTGGCTTTTAACAGACTTTTCTCCTACTTTCATAGTATCCAAAGGGTTTTTAATTTTCTTTATGGAGAACACTGACTGACACTTGCAGTCCAAGATAGGAGGAGTCCTGCCATTTTCCTACCCTTCAGGACTCAGTTGCTTCAATGTTTAAGAAAAGGAGAATTTGTAGTTCCACATCAAGGAAGGCCTCAATATAGAAGACTAGACAGAGGAAGGCCGATGTTGGGAATGTTGTCACTGGACCCCACCTCCTCTTTGTGTGCTTCCTCAGTCTTCACTTCCTCTATTCTTAAGGGTGCAATTTGGTCATGAAAGGAATCAACTCTGCTATCCTTTTTCATTTCGTCTCTATTCTATTGAATCTTAAAGAATTCATACTCTACAGACTTTCAAGGTCTTCTATCAACCAATTCCAAGAATCTGGAGATTTCCTAAGTTGGGGCAAAGGGGTGCATAGGATATAAAATATTTTTTAAAAACTGTGTAGAAAATATACGTCTTCAATAATGCACTGCATGATCTGGTCTCCCCCCACCTGCCTAGACTCACATCTGTCCACTCTCTCTACCCCACCCTGAATGCTGATGTCATAGCTGGATTTTCTTAAGAGGCTCCACCTCACACCCAGAGCTTTGCACGTGCTATTCCCTTGGCTTGGCACACTTTTCCACCTCACCTTTCTTACTCATCCTTTTGTTTCCTCACTCATCCTACTGCTTACTCATCCTTCCAAGAAATTTTAAGAGAGCAGCAGGGACGGCATCTCAAATACTCAACATCATAACTTCAGCACCTGCTAAGAGAAAGAATGGAAAAAATATCTGATGAAGCAGATGGATTAGGAAGCTAAGAATATTGTTGATAGGTTTAGGTTTTTGGGGGTTGTTTTGTTTTTCAATTTCTAAGCTATCTGTATTATTGTGATTCTACTTCTATAAGAAAAAATTATGAAATCATAAATTCATCCCAAAGTAATGTTACTTAATTATCAAAACAAACAGGTACACTTTTTTTTGCAGACATAATTCCCTTATAATTAATACTTGCTAGAGAATGGAGGTTGACCTTACTTAAAATTATATCAACATTCCCAGAGGCTGAACATCACAGGCATATGGGTGTATTATCACTACAAAATGTCTTTACTTCACAAGTCGTTTCAAATTTTAGCTATGAAGGTCAGTTACCAGAACCAAATTTGTTCTTAACAAGTAGAATTTTTACATCTATTCAATCAAAGAGTCTCTCACAACTTTCTGGGCCTATTCATTTGCAGATAGTAGAAACTGTAACTGGGTTCTTCACATCATGCATGCACATGTGATGCCCATCTTCATACGCTGTCCAACTCCTTTAGGATAAAAGGTGTGACTCACTGCACAGCCACACAGATGAGGAAGCTCATAAGGTAGAGATCACATCCTCAACACATCTTCCCTTTCATCTCCTCAGGATCCAGCTTCAGCACAAGGCCCTTTATTGGGAACATCTCAGCTTTGCTTCTCCAGCCTCCAGCTGCCAGCTCAGTTCTTCTCAGAGGCCTACACTTTATGTTGTGTTATATATATTTTTATCACAATTTTTAAAATGCAAAAAAAAAAAAAAAGGAGGGGGGCATGAACAAAGCTTCTTCTTGTCGGGTACCAAAGACATTCTTTTTGAAGCATGAAGCCTTTTCAACCTCTTCACCTCAGCCTGCCCCCTCCATCAACACATCACACTCAATCCCACACGGTCATAGTTCAGCAGGGGGAGAGAATGCATCCACACAGGTCAGCTTCCTGAACCCTTTGACTTGAACAAGGCACTCACACTCACTGGCACAGATCCTAAAAAAGATGGTTCTAATGCCTTGGTTCCAATCATATAAGGGTACAGACTCCTGATTTCTACCTCAGATCAGGCCTATGATGATGCAAATTTGATTTCATATCACCCAGGAAATTCTTTTTAGAAGCCTGTCTCTATCACCTTAGCCCAGGTATTGTTTTTATGTTTTACAGTGGTTGCATTGATGGGCTGCCAGCAGGCCTGAGTGGGTCAGAGGTGGTACTGTTTAGTTGAAGAGAGTCTTCTGTCAGTCTTGATTTAAAAAACAGCAACAACAAAGCGGGGTATCAATTAAATTGTAAAGTAGGTCTCCTTGGGGAACAGGATAGAAGCTTTAGATCTTCTGGGTCTTTGCTTAAATAATGGTTCTTCTTCACTGACCCCAGTTAAGACAGGTCTAACTAGCATTATGAAAGACAGTTTTCAATAAATTATATAAAATCCAACAAGGGCCCGTACCCATCCCACCTCCAATCAAGTTTAAGGTCCTATAAAGAGAAACACTGGTATAGAAAGCTCTGATTGTAGCCTGCCCCACACGGAGTCGAAACCCGAAGATCATTATCAGCTGTGGCATCATCAGTGGATATAAACACTAGGTCTTCTGGCAATCAATCAAAATAGGACAACCAAATCATTCATTCCTTTGTCTGGACACAAACAGGGTGGCCCCTTTGAAAGCGCTAAGCATCTGGTTCCTACATTATATGAGTGTCCAAACAGACAGGGTCTACCAGGCACACAGTTTGGTTTCTAAGTTGCAGTTTATACGAGATAGGTTATGCTTACCTGTGTAAATCTCACACAGTCATTGAAAATACACTAACAGTCTAGAAGCTCTTATATAAGGATGGTGGGAAATGGGTAGTTTCATTTTTTAATCAATTCCGTGGGTGTTTTTCATTGTCATGTAAACACATCATTTTTAAAGAAGATATTTTAAAAGATAAAATCTATAGCTTTCAAAAGATCTAAGGAGAGATTACTGTACCTCAAACACTTCCTTCATTCTTTAATAATTGCTTATAGAGCCTCAATGTGTATCACTTATACCACTTACTAGTTTTTTTTTTTAAACTCCCCCCTAGATGACAGCCCCTTTATCATTTAGATAGCCACCCCCTGGACATTTCTTAGCTCCATTAATCTTTCTCCAGTTAGAAAAGAGCCAGAGCCCTCCACACAGGGGGCTACAACCTCAAGATGTAACTGGCAATTTTATAACAAGGAAAAATAACATTTCATTGTCAGTCCCCACCCTCCTGCTGAAAACAGACCATATCTTCAGGAACTGTCTATGATTCCCAGACAAGATCTTTACCTGCATCATAACTGCTGACCTAGCAAGAGGCACATAATTTCCTTTCTCCCTAAATGGCTTACATACTCCACTGAAGCTCATCACTTTAATACACATGGACACTAAATCTCAGAAAATAAAAGCTCCAGGTAAAAATAGAATTTTCTCTCTTGTCCACTGCTGTAACCGTGGCTCCTAGTACAGCACCTAGCATACAGGAGGTGCTCAATTAATAGTTTTACATGAGTGAATGAACTTAGCTTTCTATTTCTTTTGGCTCAAGAGATAAAAGAATTAAACGTGTTTCTTAAAGGTATCATGGAAACTCTTCACCATTGGAAAAGTTTAAATACATACCTTCTGTTAGGGACAAAGTAGGAAATATTTCTACATTGGGAAAAAGGCTGAACCAAATAACCTCTTTAAGTTCCTTTCACCTCCTCGACTCTGTAACTTGAACATCACATCTTGAGAGTGATCAGCTATATAAAGCCTGATTCCCAGGTAGAGCAAATTACCATGCTCTGTTTAAAATAAAAATAATAGCTGCCCTGGGACTTGGATGCAAAAATACTAACTCATTCAAAATGTGGACACATCCCTAGGGGAGAAATGCTCTTGCTAATCATTAGTTACATTCTGGGAACAGCAGATGCGCTTCAGGGTCCTCTCAGAGCCAAGCACCAAGACCATCCACAAGAAAATGCTTCTGCTAGGGGTTGAGATGAGAACAGAAATAAACAGTATCACACTAAACTGAAGCCTCTGTGTTTTCCAGCCAACAAATCCACTTAAGAAACATCTGAATTGAGCCTTAAGGTTTAAATGGGTATAACTGAATATAACCACTTCATAAGACAGAAAATACTGCATCTGACATAGAAGGACTTTTCTCCACTAAAATCTCGTATCTACCTAGGACGTCACACTAAGACGTTCAAGTTTAAGAAAACCTAAAATTATGAGAGCAAATTATTCTAATTGAACTTTCCTTCGATCTGGATGGGAGAGGCAGTTTGTAGGGAAAGGATTCTGTTCATGTTTTCCTAAACAACTTAAAAAAAATGTCTAATTCTAAATGAGTAACTAGGGAAACTCCAAATCAATTTTGGAGTGATTCCTTTCTCTCAACACACCCTTCCATTTGTTCAAATCAGAGAATAGATAAAGGAATAGAAGGGGCAGAGGATTCTAGGATGAAAGATGTAGTGTTGATCCCTTGGAGCTGGGTTTGGAGAAATATTCTGCCTTCACCGGGATTGTTTTGAAGACATAACTACAAGCACCACAGTTAAAACAAGAGCTGAATGAACAAAGTGAAACAATTCAACAATTCCTTGGAAATGTATGAAAAGACTTTTCAACTCTGTAGTCAACTCTTGATCACTCATACCACAACTCAGTCCAAAAAAAAAGTCTTCTGTTTTTAACTGTAATTTAATCTTAATTCCAGTGACAACAGGGAATGTGCAGAGAAAGCTGTTACCTCCTCTGTACACGTACACTTTTAAATATCTCCTCTATTATTTGAATAAGAGAGGTCTTACACAAGAATTCTGTGGGATTAAGCTCACATCTGGTTGGCAGACCTGGTGTTGGATATGATTATGGCCGCACAGCTAAATCTTAAATCCACATACTGTTCCCATTTAACTGACATATATGAACTAACTAATTTATAGAAAATGTGCAGCAAATTATTTATTCCACCTACTCCAGGCCTCAAGAATGCACCAGCAATAGGCGTTACTGAACACTACCCCCCACCCGAATTGTCTACTCTCCAATTATCTAAAGTAGATATTGTTATTTTAGTTATCGGAATCTGTGCCCTGTTAATAAGTATAGTGTGGGGAAGGAGGAGAGAGGTGGGAGCAATTTAATCAGATAAACTTGACCTTTCTGCACCTCAATTTCCTCACCAGCAAAATAAAGGGATTACATAGGATTACAGCCTATGTAAATTCCCTCTGTAACAACAATCCACGACCACTAATTATCAAGAGCACAACTTGTGTGTAAGAGGAGATCTGAATTCTTAAGCGTATGTCATTAAATATTAGGGTACAAAACGCTTAAAAGACGCACAGTTACACTTCAATATGACCACAGTACATCGTGACTGTGGAGAACGTCTTTGAAAACACCTCGGAGGCGGAGCCACCAAACCGCGTTACAACAAGCAGAGGGTCCCCGCGAACTTCCCCGGGCGGGGAAGGGGGCGCAGGGGCGGCAAAAGGCGCCAGTATCTGGAGAGGACTTAGAGGACGACCTGGGAGTCAGGGCACACACAGCCTTGCATTCCCGGGACTTCAGAGCCTCTAGGATCTCTGTAAGACTTTCATGCCTGACTACAAGACCTCTCAAGCCACCACCTGCAGCTACACAGTTGTGGCAAGGAGATGAGGAAAGGAAAAGGGGATGGTTGAGCGGGAAAAACCTCGCTAGAGGCGCCCCCAATACCAGCGGTGAGAAAGTGGACTTTGAACATCGACAAAGAAATGGGGAAAGAGAAAGCAGGACTCCGCCTTTCCCCCCGGCTCTGCTCCTTTCAATAAAAAGGAACCGCCGCCGCCCTTTACCCCCCCCCCCCCGCATTTCGGGGATGCGGAGCACCGACTGTGACCGCACCCTCAAAGTCCGGCTCCGAGTCGCGAACTGAGTCTTGCACCCCTGGCCGGCCCGCGAACTCGGGGCGGGGGCATCCCCTCGATCCTTCCCTCGATCCGAGCCGCGGGGCACCCAGGTCTCCACGCACCCGCCCTCCCTTCCTCTTCCTCGCGCCCCCGCCTCCTCGGTTCGCCATCCCCGGTCTTCCAACCGCAGAGCATTTTAATACTTCCACCCACCACGACAAGGGGGCCTTGTGAAAACTTTGTGTGTGTATCTAGAGCTTTTGTCCACATCCTGGGCAGGGCCGGGTCAGCCGGGTGGGTGCCTGGGGGCGTCCGAGATCTCACAATGCACTGGGGAAGCCACCATGGAAATCCCACCCTTTTATTTTTGACCCGCTTCTACAGCCGTGTGACAGCGCGCTCGGGCGAACAATTCCCATGCCCTGGTAGCCCCCTCGGCGAGGGGGAGCCGGGAGGAAACCCCCGCTCTCGGCGCCTTTCTCGACTGTCACGAGAGGAAAGGTTTGCGCGCGGAGAGGGAGGCAGGCAGACGAGAAACACCATGGCTAAAAGAATCCCTTTAAAGGGAAAATAGGAAGGGGTCCTTTCTCTCCCACATCTCCGGAACCGGGGCGCGACTAGGCGATACACTGTTGCATCACGTAGGAGACCAGCCAGCCTCTGGTCTCCTAGCCCTCCCCTCAGCTCCAGACTCGCGCCCAATCTCATGCACACACCCACAGCCGCCACCATCCGGAGCCCCCGCCCGGGCCCCCGTATTCCCCGCCGGCACCCGCCCGAAATCGGGGACCACCCAGCGCCGGAGGAGCCTCCCGCAAGGGAAGCGAGGCCCCAGCACTCACAGACGGTCTCCCCACGGCCACGGCCATCGCGGCTGCGGCTCCGACTCCGGCTGCGCCTGGGTGCTCTCCGCCAACACTGGCTGTCGCTCCGGCTCCGGCTCCGGCTCCGGCTCCGGCTCGCCTCCCCCGCGCCTCCCTCGCGGCTGCGCTCTGCTAGGACCCGGCTCCCGCTCGCAGCCAGCGGCATCTGCTCCCCCCACGCCGCCGCCCCTCCCGCTTTATTAGAGCAACATGGCCACCCGCCTGGAAGGGACCATTTGCTTCCCTAAGAAGGGGTGTGAGTCCGCGCGCCGGGGCTGAGGCTGTGGGAGGGGGGATGACGCGCGGGCCGCCAGCCGGGGTCAGCCGACCCAGGCCGCCGGGCTCATCCTCCGCGAAAGTAGCCGTGGGCCCCCAGACGACCCTCTCCGGTGCCACCGAGACTCCCCCCGGCTGTACTCTGGCCTCCACCCCCCGCTCCATCACGTGCTGGAGTCCGAGTAAAATCCTGGGTGCGGAGGTCCCAGCCTCGGGTCCCGCCACGCGCTTCACGTTGCGGACAGCTGGCGGGGCTGCGGAGAGGTTGAAGGGACAGTGGGGAAAGACAGGTCCGCGGGGACATCATCTCGCGGAAAATTAGCCCAGGGCAGGCACGCTTCACCCGGAGGAACCGGTTTGGAAGGGCTGCGGGCCGCCAGGGAGAGCGGTGGGCGACGGAGGTGGGGCCGGGCAGACCCCCCCCCCTCCCCAGGGAAGCGTGTCCCCTCCTCAGTTCTTCTCTTCCTAAGGGAGAGACCAAAAGGCAGGCCGCTGGAAGCTGTCGCCGTGGCGTGCGGCGGGGTAGGGGATCACAGTGGAGAGGAAGAGTCCATAGTAGTCGCTGCTGCAGACGATCCGACCGCTGCCGGCAGGAGAGGAAGAAAAGAACGCCCCCGCTGGAGAATTAATGCAGCTGTTGGCCGCCCTAGAGCGTGGGGCCGAGGCCTTCCCCCGGTGGAACGAGAGCTCGTTGGTCACACGTGGGGGCTCAGCCGACCTTCTCTGACTGCTGGAGACAGACCCGCCAACGCGGAGGCGGGCGGGCGGGATTGCGGCTGGGGGCACGGCGACCGCGCCAGGCGTGGGCGACTCCGGGCGCGTGGGGCTGGAAATCTCCTCCGCTGTGGGGAAGGACTTTTGCAGCAGACGCTGGGGCGTTACTGCATGTCTGTGTGGCGAGCAGAATGGCAGGGTCCTGGCGCGTGCTGGGTGGCGAGGTGTGCGGGAGGTGCTGTAGAGGTGCTCCTCGTGGAGCGGGAGGAGCGGCCCGCGGGGACAAGGTGACTGAGGATAGCAGCGGGTCCGGGGGTGGGGAGCCAGTTGGATGGGAGCGCGGGGAAATGAGTGGCGAAGCGCCGTGGTCAGCCCACGCGATTACGCCCTCAGGGAAAACCTGGGCCTATTGAATGAGGTGAAAGACAAACCGCCTCTTGAGATTGAGGCGCCTCAGAGTCTGACCCAGGACCGAGCGCCCAGGTTTCTCCCGGCCTTGCGTCTGCCTCTCTGTCCCCAGTGAGCCGCAGGATCCGAACGCGCCGCCTTTGGCTAAGGCTGAGTGGGCTCCGGGCGAGGGTCCGGCTGCTGCGAAGCAGACGCTGGGCCGCCGGCGGAAGGGTTGAGGGGCTCCGGGTGAGAATCCGAGGAAGTACTCTCGTGAAAGAAAGATGCGGGTCTCTGAATGGGGACCTCTTCGGTGTGTGGGCGGGCCCAGCCTTGCAGAGCACGAACCTCGTCGGTTTCGACCAGTATCTGCCCCCGCTGGACTTCAGATTTGAAGACGAGGACCAACATTTATGTCAAGACTACACTAGACACTGTTGAATTAAGATTTCCAAAAGGGAAGGGGAAGAGAGATATACTTTGATCTGCTGCTTTCTGTATGTGACCATTTTGTTCCTGCTCCCTTAGGGAGGGTTAGACCGCAGCACTGCGCAGGGACAGGAGGTCTCATGTAAACCCTGTGAAAACGTCGCTCCTCACGTTGCCAACCGGATGAAAGGGCAAGGGGAGACCAGCTCTCCATTTTGTGTTCTTCTGACCAGACCCGATGGCAGGATTTAATAATTTTATTTTTATTTAAGTCCTTGGTTTGTAAATGTTTTTGTTGAAAACCTCTGATTAGATTAGAAGAATATGAACTCCCTGCTTTTGTGAGTAGGTTAGTTTACCCCCATCACAAAAGCCTAAAGTCACTTATTCCAACATCTCATCTGTTTGAGGAAACCCTTTTAGGACAAAATCATCAAAATTTACCGCACTTCGGCCTGAATGTTTTCACTGACAAGTAGCGATGCCTTAAATTCCCTCCTCGTTTTTATTTGTTTATTTTGGCAGGTAGGCATAAATATATTTAATAAAAATACAATTTACTTTTGGCCAAGGAAGACTAGTTCAGAATGTCATTTCTCATTACGAAGTTATTTGAATATCATTCTACAACCAGACTACCTAGGTTCAAAAATCCTGGCTTTAGGGACGCCTGGGTGGCTCCGTGGGTTAAGCGTCTGCCTTCGGATCAGGTCATGATCCCCGCTGCCTGGGATGGAGCCCCTTATCCCCCATCCAGCTCCTTGTTCAGTGGGGAGCCTGCTTCTCCTTTTCCCTATGCTCCTCCCCCTGCTTGTGCTATGTCTGTGTGTCAAATATACAAAATCTTAAAAAAAAAAAAAAATCCTGGCATTACCACTTCATAACTATATGACCTTGGGCAAGGTACTAACCTTTCAGCACTTTAATTTTCTCATCTTAAAATCTGTTTAATGATAGTTCCTATTTATTTTTTTTAAGATTTTATTTATTTGACAAAGAGAGACAGCGAGAGAGGGAACACAAGCAGGGGGAGTGGGAGAGGGAGAAGCAGGCTTCCCGCGGAGCGGGGAGTCGGATGCGGGGATCGATCCCAGGACCCTGGAATCATGACCTGAGTCAAAGGCAGACCCTTAACGACTGAGCCACCCAGGCGCCCCTAGATTACCTTTTTAGACTACCTCTGTGCCCAGCACTGTGGTAGAAATTTAAAAAAATTTTTTTTTTATTTTGGGTTTCTAGATTTTATTTTTTTAAATTTTATTTTATCATGTTAATCACCATATATTACATCATTAGTTTTTGATGTAGTGATTCATTGTTTGCGCGTAACACCCAGTGCTCCATTCAATACGCGCCCTCCTTAATACCCACCACCAGGCTAACCCACCCCCAACCCCCCTCCCCTCTAGAACCCTCTCTCTTGTGTTCCTCAGAGTCCATAGTCTCTCATGGTTCATCTCCCTCTCCGATAACCCCCCTTCATTTTTCCCTTCCTACTATCTTTTTTTTTTTTAACATATAATGTATTATTTGTTTCAGAGTTACAGGTCTGTGATTCATCAGTGTTACACAATTCACAGCGCTCACCATGGCACATACCCTCCCCAGTGTCTATCACCCAGCCACCCCAACCCTCCCACCCCCCACCACTCCAGCAACCCTGTTTGTTTCCTGAGATTAAGAAACTAAAAATTTTTAAATGGAGGTGACTCTCTAACTCTTAACCAGTGTGCACAATCTGCTGAGAGACACATATTTAAACAACTCTGATAGAGAAGACAATCCTACAAAAGATATATGAATTATGGGATTTTTAAAGTATAGCAAAAGGACCTATTCACTCTGCCTGTCAGCAGAACAGGAAAGGCTTCACCAAGGAGGTGGAATAGGAGAGCAAGCAAGGAAGACATTGTACTTTGTTCCTTTAGCCCTAGGAGTTGTAACAGCTTCTTAATGTTATGAGTTTTGGGGCGCCTTGCCATCTCTTATTGGTCCCTCTAACTTCTTCAGTGCTTCTCAAACTTTAGTACCTATGAATCACTTAGGGATCCTGTGTAAATGTAGATTCTAATTCACTAGGTCGGGCTGGGACCTGAGAGTCTCGGGTTCCATCTGGCTCCCAGGTGATGCTGACACTGCCAGTCTGGTAATCACACTAGACTGGCAAAGGTTTACAGTTGGGAAGCAGTACCTTTATTTAAGTTTCTTCATTTGAAAAATCTGCATTAAATCCTTTTTTCCACGAAGAACTTGACAGAGATAGATGGAAACACAAAAAAACCCTGCAATTGTCATTCATGAGCTCAATCTCTTTCCCTATCATTAAAACATTTCTTTAAAAATCCATTTGAGGGGCACCTGGTTGACTCAGTGGGTAGACCCTCAGACTCTTGATCTCAGGGTTGTAAGTTTGAGCCCCACTATGAGTGTAGAGATTATTTAAAAAAAAAAAATTCATCCTAGACCTTGTAAGTTTACCAGTAATCTTCAAACTCTCTTGCTTCTTATGCTTTTTGAAAATTAGGACAATATTTGCCCCTCTCTAATCTTTTGGCATTTCCTATTTTTCTCTGGCTTCCCAAAGCTGACTAGTATTGATTCTGCAATCACTTAAGTGAATCTTTCATGGATAATTCCTTTAGGCCTAGAAAGTTTAACTCACTTAAAATGGTTGCTCATTTACCACACTGGATTTCAGTAGCCTTTTAGTCACTAAAGTAAGTTAATTTTAATGAAAAATTATTTTCTTTGAGAGAGGAGACAAAAGTAGAGCAGTCTTGCCCCCCCTTCTCTGTTGTTTGATAGCATCAGCACCCAAGAAGTGGCTTTCATCCTTTCTTGTTCACTCTCTTGTGGCAAGCATTACTTGAAAAACAGGGGGAAAAAATTCTGAAAATTTCTTGATATTCTTTTTAAAAGCAAAAATTATCTAAGCCTCCAAGAAAGTATCAGTCCTTGTGCTATTCTTTAATACATGCTCTTTTAAAATCTGATCTTGTTAAGAAATACCCTGTGAAATGACATGCTCCCTGGAACATGAGAACTTGGACTCTGGCCACTCCCTTTGGCAGCCAGCCCTGGAGTGGGGTCAGTCCCCTGATTCTGGCACCTCTAATTATCAGATAATTCTTTCTCCCTGTAGCCAGTCATTGTGATGCCAATTATTATTTCTCTTTGTGAGCCTGAAAAAAGTTACGTAGTTGAAGTCCCTCTGACTACTAGATGTTGCCACTGGGAAGGGAATCATAGATATATACATCTGTATATTCTGACAGCAATATCACTTCTATATTCTCATCTTTAGTCTCAACCTATTTGCCAGCTACCATTCCACCATTATCAGTTTCCACCAGCTGAATAATTCTAGTGCCTGAGGTTACTCTGCACC